TGATTGATCGATTTTCTTGTCGATAGTTTCGTCATGCAGAAAACATTGCTTTTCACCTGATCGTCTCGATTGGTTCGGACTCGTCTCTCGGATCTAAACAAACAATCGTGCACGAATATTTCGAAAATTGTATCTCGTATTCGTAGAACGTTAACAAAAGGATTGCCGATATACTCCATTTTTTTCTCTCTCTCTCTCTAAAAACTTTTTCACCGTCGTTAACCATCGAGTTAGCACAATTATTCAAAACGTCGATTTAGCAGTATCGTCGAAAAGGTAAAACTAAATTCGATAGCGAGCGTGTTGCATGCTTGATTCGCGTAGCAGTGCTTGAACATACCGCGCGGAGCAAAGTGTTCGATCATCAAAGAATCGTTTAACAGCCGGGTCACGATTTTTCCCCGGATAAACGAGTTTTCACGATAGTTTCGCCGTCGTTGTACGCGTGCCGTCTGCGCTCGTCGTGGTGGACGTGTGACGGCCAAATATTTGCGCTCGCCTATTGTTTCGTTAATAGCGAAGTTGGTATCGCTACGTGACGAAGATGACAAAGTAGTTCGTTTTACCTACGTTCTTTTGCCATTTTTTTTTTTTTTTTTTTTTTTTTTTGGATTTTTTTTTTTTTTTTTTTTTTTTTTGTAATATTTAAAAAGAAGAATTCTTTCTGATCGATCGACGAGTTAACCTCTTGGAATGACGGTGCCACGCACGTTGAGAATTTTTTCTCCCAAAATTGTAATATTGTCTCAGTTTTAAGTATATTCAAGTGAAATAGGCGAAAGAGATAATAAATTTATCACTTCTCAATAATTTCTATCCAGTGATATACAAGTTCAAAAAGAAAGCGATGAATTATTGTATACGGTTTAGTCACTCGTTATGGTACGCAATCAGCACAAGTGGTTAAACATACCCACTCGTTCGTTAGCACTAATGAGATTATAGATATAAAATCTTAGCTTCATTTAACTAATTTTGGCAATCGTGCAACGCACTGCGTTCTCAACGCGTGATAGCCACTTTAGTATTTATGACGTTACAATAAATTGCCATTTAGTCTTTTATCCTCGATCATTTCAATTAATCATCACGTTCTATACGAACGCAAGGAGTATCCTACTACTTACGAACGGGAGCTCCGTCGATGAATCTTCGTTGCAAGACTAGAAGAACGATAAAATCCACATAAAATGGGATCAGTCGAAGTATAGCTCCTTTCGCATTACACGCTGATTACAAAGTTGACTGTAAATTCCCAAAAGCTCGGGAGCGAGAGGGTGGGGAGGAGGGGGGGTTGCTTTCACAGTCGTATCATAAAATACCAGAAAGCCACAGGCGAAACAATGGTCACGTTCGATTCGTTTCGATCTGCACGACCCCCCCCCCCTCTCTCTCCCTCTCTTCTCTCCCCTTTCCTTTTCATTCTTTACCTTTCCTCTTTTTTTTTTTTTCTTTTTTCGATTTAAAATTCCAGACCGGAGGAATTCCCTTTGACCGCAACATGGTCGCTGGCAACAGCTATCTCGCGATACAAATTACAAGCGGGCTGGCGAAGCCGCGGTCGAACTCGCGCTCGTACGTTCTTTTTTTCAGCGCGCAACTCCACGCAACTCTCGCCGGGACGAGAGTGCCTCGGTGTGCCGTGGCAAAAAAAAAAAAGAATAAAATAATAAAAAAAAAAAAAAAGGAAGAAAGAAAAACCCCGGTTTTCCTCCGGCTGCCGGTATATAGGTTTGCTTAACGGCCCGTGTAAGGTTTACGAGCGTTCCGGCAGCCGTAGCACGAAAAATTTCTTTGAAGACGCTCGCCTTCTCTCGCTCTTCTTCTTCTTCTTCTTCTTCGTCGTCGTTGTCGTCGTCGTTCCTCGACGAAGCGGCGGCAAAAATTTGCTGTCGTTTTCGTCTCGCGTTAATTCACGGCCAGCGTGAAGGGAATTACCACGGAGCGCACGAAGAAATAGAGCGGGAATTCCGCGTTCGAAACGAGTCCCGGACGTGCGATTTATCGGTAGCGCGGAGCAAATGAGGGAGAGACTGCCGCGCAGAGAGAACACGTAAGGCAAACCGCTGCAAGCGTGTGTTTGTACACAGCCGGATGCTTTAGAAATACCTGGCTCGATTTGGACGAACGCGTGGCCATTATTTGACGAAGGGTTCCCGCCCGCCAGAAACGTTTAATTGTTCTGCTCGAACGGCCTATAATCGGCAATTTCGCAGCGCCGATATTTCCAATTTTCAACTGTTTTCGTAAAGTATTCGGCAAGGCGCGCGCATTGATTGTTTCGATTGTAATAAAACACCGATCGAACGTTTCCTCGAACGAGCCCCGAAGTGTTCGATGTCGCGTTTATTGTTAAAGCAGAATGTAACTGTAACCTGCCGTGATAGACATTTCCGTATGTACGCGTTGTGTACGTAGACAGACGGGCTGCGTTTGTATAGGTGAGAGTGATCCTGTCTGAAACAGACTGGTAGTTTGCGGAGGCGCTTTAAAGTTCTCATTAAGCGATCGAGGTCTGTGGGACACTTCTGTGTCTCATTGTTTGCTTTGTTTGGTGTTTACGCCACTGCGCCGAGGCTACACAGCGGCCGCGCTGGCAGCGGAGTGGCGCGGCGGCGTCATCCCCCTTGGCGTCGAGCAAGAACCAGGAGAAAACCGAAAGGGACAGACAAACAGAGAGAAAGAGAGAGAGAGAGAGAGAGAGACGAGAAGGACGAACGAAGCGGAGGTGAGAAAGAGACAGAAAGACGGGAGACACGAAGAGAACAGGGGAGAGGTGGCTTTCATTAAGCTCGCATTGTCTCAGCACCGCACTATTATAGCCGAGTGAATAACTTGGAGCCATCCGGTAGTCGGAAGGAAAGCCTCTCTCGTTTCTTTTTTCCTCTCTCTTCCTTCACCCCCCCCCCTCCCTCCTTCGCCCGTTTTGCTTCTTCCACTCCCGTGTCTATGTGTTCCTTCCCACCCTTCCGAAACGCGATTCATTTCCACTGCTTCGTGCAACCTGCAGCGGCGTCCACTATCGCTCCTCCGCTTCCTTCTGAACCGCAAATTTATTTCGCGAACTCGACACGCCTCCGTCCTCCTTCGGCGAACCTCAGGTCGCCGCGCCGCGCCGCTGAAATATTAACGAGCCGAACGAACGTTCGATGCGATATAGAACGATCGGACCGGCGCCACGGGAAGCTTTGATTTCACGCGAGAAGGCGCCAGCCTGTTCCCCGCTGCGGACGGGCACCATCGTCATCCATCCGAACGGGCCATCGAGCGGAAGAAAGACGGAGAGAGAGAGAGAGAGAGAGAGAGAGAATGAGAGAGTGGGAACGAGAAACGAAGCGAAACAGAGGCAGGGTTGATTTTAACGAGTACGCGCGACCCCGTGGATCGTAAAATCTTCACTGTCCTACGCTGTTCGTTAATTACTCGCGGCCTCGAAACGCGCCCGCTCGCTGGCTCGCCTGTTCGTTCGTCGAACGAACGCTTTCGATTCTATCGCGTGCATACATATACGCGTGCCTTTCATGTAGACACGCGTGCCTTTCATGTAGACACGCGTGCACAAGCGCGCGCGCGCGCGTTCATCCACGCTCTGGATACGGCCTGATTCTGTCACCTAGTTCGAGGTCGGTCGTTAATGACGCGGAAGGAACGCTAGCAGCGTGCCAGGGATGTCGCCCACAAAGAGGGCCGAAGGGGTGGCTCGTTCGTCAGAGGTGCAGTTCCGTTTTGCCGATTAGATGTCCGTGGTGGAGCGGCTCGTCTCCTTCTCCCTTCTCGTTTCGGTTATTACGGGAGTCATTGAGCGATTTTTACTTTCCGCTCCGTTACTTATATACCCCCTCCTTTTCTTCTTCATCCACTTTCATCGGCAACCGATAATTGGCGTTTTAACGAACAATTTTTGTTTTCTTCCCCCCGGGTGAGGTACTTGTGATACCGCGAAAGGGTACGTTACAATTCATATATTTTAAGAATCTCGGAGGAACATTTAAAAAGTAACGAGAATATTACGGGAGGCTGTTTTTACAATTTTAGAAAATACTTGGAAAACCTCCGGGAAAGATCGCTGTATTTAGGATGTTTTTATAATTTGAAGAATATTCAGAAACCTCGGGGGAGGATTTGAAAAGCCGCGTTCAAATATTTTCGTTCCTTGTAGCGATACAAACACGCTCGATAAAGTAAACATACAAATAACTAGAGTTACTAGAGTTCGGAGAAGCGAATGATATTGAAATACATATTTCCCTCGCCGCATTACCAGCTGCGACGTCGGTTATACTCCCGTTACAACGCGGTTCACCCTTAATTGACTTTCTCTCGCGTGCTCCACTAAAGAGAGCTAAGTTGAATTTACTTGCGCAGAGAACACATTTCAAATCTTGCTGCTTAAGCCTACGTCGCGCAGGCAAGCCAACGCGAAATTTCGCGATACCTCATTACTATGCAATTTGTGTTAAGACAGTAAGCTCTGGTCTTATCAGGCGTACCTGCCGTTCTAGTTTCGCGAACCTGCTTTAATAAACAATAATAACGACGCAGTCCGATGTACAAATATAAATATTTCACGGCGCCGAAGATTCCAAACCCTCTTTCCGATTCATACTCGATGTAACTTTGGCAACTTGTGCTAAAACCTCTTAACAAAGAACGCTAAAGTCCCTCGAATATATTCGAGCAATTAATTTGCATATTTTTTTACATTTTCTCTCTCTCTCTGTCTCGTTTTCTTTTTAATAAGAAAGCTTCTCGTTTTTGGTCTCGCCTTTATGTTTCGCATTTCGATTATATTTTCTCGGAATTACTAATATCTATATATTTAACAAACACCCGTCGAGTGTTAAGTTAATATTCGCATGATTTTTTGTTGTACAGAGACCTAGAGAGAATTGGAGAAAAGAATCGTAAAGATCGCGATTTTTCTTATCTGTTAGTGACACGCGATCGACACACGGCTATCGATACCGAGACTGACAGTAATTGCTTAATACCTGTTTCAGATACTCCGTCGTTCGCGATAACGCGTTTACCTGGTTTTGGAATTCCGATCGTCGAGGGGATGTCTGTCAGCTTGAAATGCGAGGTGGACAGCAATCCGGCTAGCACGCCGATCTGGCAACGTGGTAAGTGACAATAGTAACAAAAAATTCCACGTTTCGTTTACCTATGCTATTCTACCTTCGAAAGAGAAACACAGAGAGAAAGAAAAAGAAAGGTACGTTACAAAAATTTCAAAGTGAGATATTCTCGAAATTCTGCTTAATGAATATGCAAAGAATCACCAACCTACGTTTTTTCTTTTCTCTTTGTCTGTTCCCTAAACTTTGCAATGGAATTTATTGTTCGACAATATTAATATAGATAATTTTAGTAATATCATATTTTCAATGTAGATGTATCTTTTCACAGAGTGATAAAATTATAGAAAACTTTCGCACGATACGAAAAATAATATGTGAAATAACTGATCTAGATCTATTAATGACTGTATTTATACTATCGTGTATATATATATATACCATAACGTATACTATATATGCTATATATACGTAATGTATATACTATAACTATACTATAATGTATACTATATATACGTAACGTATACTATACTATAACTATACTATAACGTATACTATATATACGTAACGTATACTATACTATAACTATACTATAACGTATACTATATATACGTAACGTATACTATACTATAACTATACTATAACGTATACTATATATACGTAACGTATACTATACTATAACTATACTATAACGTATACTATATATACGTAACGTATACTATACTATAACTGTACTTTAACGTATACTATATATACGTAACGTATACTATACTATAACTGTACTATAACGTATACTATATATACGTAACGTATACTATATTATAACTATACGTATACTATATTATAACTATACTATAACGTATACTATATATACGTAACGTATACTGTAACGTATATATATATATATATACACAGTCTTTCATAGTGGAAGAGTTAATCCACAATATCGGTAACTTAAAATACTGCATAAAGCGGTGATATTTTCATCTTCCATTCCAAGGCAGAGTTATGCTTTGCCACATCACTACCCTTTGCCAAGCGTTTGTCAAACGCCGTTTGCTATTTGTTGTTAACGTCCAGGCTGTTAGTTCCTTCGCAGTCATCAGCAAACAAAACGATAAATCGTACAATCACGTTAATTTATACCGCGGCCGCCAGAGGAAGAGTATCACGAACTCGATGGAGTCGAGTCAGAACAATAAATAATCCCGGCGTGTATTCCGAGCGAGCGAATCCCCTCATCGCAGATAAGTATGCACGGCAGATATTATCTTTCGTCTGCATTAGCAGCCCTGTGCTTCTTTCCCTCTCCTCTTTTCTAATCCGGCCGCGTGTTGTGAATGCTTCGTCAAGATTAAAAAATGCTACGCTTCGAAACGGCTTCTGGTGGTTCTTTCACGTCCCCTCGTCAGTCACGCGCGCGCTTTTGCTTCTTCTTCTTCTTCTTCTTCTTACTATTTTTTCGTCGTTCTTCTTTCTTTCTTTCCTCTTTTTCTTCCTCTCCCCTTTCGTTCATTTCATCCCCCTTTCTTCGTCGAAATCAATGGTAGTCCATTGAGATTTCGCTTTCCAAGCGTTCCACCGACTTATTCCCGATAATTGGAAATCTCCTTGTACGAACGTCGAACGTCGTTGGCTTGTTCGAATTTGTTCGCCGCGTTTTTTTCCACCCCCTCTGCCGGCCGTAATCGATAGCTTCGACGGTAAAGTGGTCGGTCTCTCCCTTCCGGCGGAAACGAACCTCTCGAACGCAAAAAAAAGCCTGCATTCCTCCCCCCCTCCCCCCACCCTCACGCGCTGGAACGAAAGAGAAAGAGATTCGCTTCCTGCGGATACGTTGTATTTGTATTTTCTGGCCGAGGCTCGAACTTGGTTATGAATCGAATAATTTAAGGATAAAGAATTGAAGATCGATCGGATCGACCGTAGGATTTTTTTTTCCTTTTTTTTTTCTCTCTCTCTCTATCTCTATCTCTCTCTTTCTCTAAGAAAGATCGAAGGGGATCGGCAAATGGAAAAGTTCCCTCTTCCCTTAAATTCCATTTGTTTCGAGGAGAATGAGAAACCGGGACGGAGAATTACTCCCAGCCGACTGGATTCATTAGCAGCCTCTTGTTCTTTGTCAAAGCTCGCCGACGGTAGACTGGCCCGCGACTTGATAAATATTTAAAACCTTCTATAATTCCCTCTTTAGTCTGCCCGGACACTGTCTCTCCCTTTCCTCGCGGCGGCGTCTTTGAGTTCCTCCCGGCGGATCCTTCAATTCCGATACACCCCGGTGTAACAACATTTTAGCTAGGCAGCGAGTAAAAGTAAAGCTTCTTGAACGATTTTCAGACGGGAGGAGGAGGAGGAGGAGGATATAAAACCTACGAGGGTCGAAAGTGAAGTAGTTACTTTGTATGTAAATAGGTTGCTCGTGTATCGAGCTTTTTCTTCTTCTTTTTCTTCTTCTTTTTTTTTTTTGTCGGATCTCGATCAGTGGAATATATATTAGAAATGTATTGCATTTCAAAAGACTCTACGACGTAGTAGGCACAAGTAATGCAATAAATACGGCAGTCTGTATATTATAGGGAGGTTATAAATTAACGTGTGCAACTACAGCATTTATCCACGGAGCAACAACTATGTGGCCGTCGATCACGGCAATCTCCTCTTTTCTGTTATCAGTAGGGGTTGAATCTAAGTCTATATATCATACGACCCTAACTGAAATTTCGGGCTTTGTTTCTTATCAGGCTCTCTGCCAATCCGCTCGAACGTATGCAAGATCAGCGAAAGAAGTACGATAGAAGTAGAAGAAGGCTAGACTTGTCAGACACGCGGGTAAAAATATTCTTCGAGTATGACTTTTTGAGAACTTTACAAAGTCGAAAGATCGTCGTCGGACAGTCGGATACTTAAGAACCTTATATTTTATTAAAATAACTCGTATCAAAAAGTAGAATAACGCCAAATACGTCAGACCGAAAACAAAAAAAAAAATACTTTCCAAATTGTTTCTATCCTGTAAAATCAGAAACTTTGGTTCTTATATTTTGCCAAGATAATCCATATCAAAAGGTAACTTTCAAAGTCAGATCGAGAGAAAAGAGAGAGAGAGACAGAGGGAGAGAGAGAGAATTAAAATAGTTTCCAAATATTTTCTAAAAACTATATCACGTTAACTTCTAAGCTAGAAGTTAACTAGAAACCCTGATGATCAAAGTTCGTCGAACTAATCTAAAGGAAAGAAAACAACCGTGCGCGCCGAGTATTCCCCCGTGTTCCTTGTCCAAAGCGTAGTCCAGGAGTTAACCCAAATTCGGCGTTATGTATCCTCATGACCGTACGCCTGTTTCAGTCGTACGAAACGTATGTAGGTACAGGTACGTGCAGCTTTACGTAACGGCCGTGGCGCGAGTCGTTACGCGCTCTACCATGGGAATTAACGTTTGTTTTAATGGACGTACTTTTCGTCCCGAGTCGGCGCCCAACGTTGTTACACAGAGAGGGAAACCCACCCGCTGGCAGATTCATTCCCTCCCGCGTGTGATGCACGACTCGTGTTAGGCTCGATTCGTAGCTGCACCGCCACCGGTGAGAACGATCGGTGCGAGCAGCATGATTTGCAACTTGATTGCTCGGTTCGGATCCAGGAATCGGCGATAGGCGAGCCAATTGGTCCATTGGAATTACGGTGCACATGAGGCACCTTCGACTCTTGGCTCCTCGATTTGTTGTTTGATAATTTCTCTCTTTCTCGCGGAACAAGGAGAGAAAAGGAGAAGAGAGGAGCAACTTGAAATCGAGAACTCGACGATGGAACGCTGAAAGATGTTCGATTTTGTTTAAAATGAACGGTAACTTCGAACCGAAAGATTGGAGGATTTAATTCGACGCGTAGTAGTTTGAAAGATATCCGCAAAGTTGGCCAAAGGATGATGTTCTTTCTGAATTTTAAAAGGGAACTTGATTGTGCAACTTCCGCGAGCTTTCTTTCTGCCTCTCTCTGTTCCTTCTTTCCCCCACTGGCCGAGAACGTTGCGTCCAAGTCCCGCGAGCGTGCATTTGTTCTCGTTAAGCTGATCCTTTAATGTAATTAGAAGCACGCTGCAACTGTATGTTAAATTAAATATGCTTCTTTGTCCACGCTGCAAAGTAAGAACCTTCCACTCCGTCTGTTAAACCTCGGAACGGAAGTCTAAATCGAGAAATCCGTCGTTGCTGCGCGTCCTCCATGTTAAAACGCCTTTCGTGAAAGGAAACAGAAAAAACGAAATGGTTCCATCGATGCTTCATGTCCCACGTGACTCTCAGAACGACGAGTATCAAACACCGAGCCATCCGCTAATCCCACAATCGAATCTCTCTTTCTCGGCCAAAAAAATTTAATACGCCCCCCTTCTTTCGTTCATGTTCGCGTAACAGTTAGCAGACTTTTTCCCCAGGTTTTGGTCGTTGCCGCTGCACCTTTTAGCCGGCTCGGTGGAAATCACGAAAAGGATTTACAGACGGAGCCGGAGGATCGGTAACGATGTTGCTTTTTGCTGCGGATCGGCGCGCAAATAAAAGTTCGCCGCGGTATAATTTTCTTTATTCGTCGTCAATCAGAGGGGAACTTTGATCACAGAAAAAGGAAATTCACGGGAGTAGAGAGAGAGAGAGATAGGGAGAGAGAGGGGGTAGGATTTTCGTGGAGAGTTCCGCGAGTAACCGCGGCGGAGAAACCACTTTCTTGATTAGAGTGGTCGGTTTAAACGGACGAAACTATTACATTCGTTAAACGCGGTTCGATCCGACCGTTCGGTCTAACTTTTTTATGGTACCGCGCTGCGTTCCTTTTTTTTTTTCTTTCTTTCTTTTTTGTTTTTTTTTTTTCCCTCTCCGAATTCGCAGGTCGAAACGAACGCCGTGCCGTTTTAAAGCTTCCATCGAAGTACCCGTTCGAGTTACGACGTTTAATCTCGTTGCAAGCGTCTGGCGTTCGAAGTAATAGGAACGGCGGTAATGCAGGGGTTTCTTTTTAACATTTCTCGTAACTTATGCGAATTATGAGCGGC